TAATAGGTGTTGTTTACCTGTACACAAAACAAAAACATACTGAATTGTCTAAATAACTACTAAACAGTACTGAATTGTCTAAATAACTACTAAACAGTACTGAATTGTCTAAATAACTACTTAACAGTACTAAATTGTCTAAATAACTACTAACCATTACTGAATTTGTAACAAGAAAATACTCGAAAATGAACTTAAACTCTTGAAAATACCAGACTTTTTTGGTTTCAGACTTTTCAGATGATATTAAGTACTGTTCAGACAGTTCTATTGCAGTAACTTAAGATCTGTTCAGCCTATGTTGAGACTGCTTAATAGGTGTTGTTTACCTGTACACAAAACAAAAACATACTGAATTGTCTAAATAACTACTAAACAGTACTGAATTGTCTAAATAACTAATAACAGTACTGAATTGTCTAAATAACTACTAAACAGTACTGAATTATCTAAATAACTACTTATAGGTATAGAACCACTAATTCAGGCCCGGTCGGAAAGAACATACAAGAAAGTAGTACATATTGTAAACAAAATAGTTCCTACGCATAGCTGTATCTTTGTCAATACTTGGAATATTTGGGTAGTTTTAGTATCAAATGAAAGCTTGGGGACTTGGGATCACTGTAGAACCCTTATTGAAAGTTTTATTTGAATAATAAAGAAGTATATGAAATTTTAATAGGAGGGCTCATTTGGCCTGTTGTTCAGATCAGAAGTTCCTGTTTTTGTACTATCAAACTTCCGGGAACCAGTACGCTCTAATATGCAATTAAAGGTATGTTGATTTTTTCAGCACAAGTCAGGATAAGGTACAGTTTTGACATGAAATAACTGCCACTTTATTTGAACTTAAGACAAAGTAGCCATTAATGCTTGAATTTGCAGAATTTAACATAGAAAGCAATTGGGCTATGAATTAGTGGTTTTATACCTATTACTGACAGGCATGTGAAATTCTATTTTTAGAAATCATACCCTTTACAGTGAAAATTGGTCACATTTGTTGTCAGAAATCATGTTACATTATTTTTTTATGTAACAATTATGTTAGTGTCAAGTTACAACCCTCAAATTGCTAAAATAAGGTATTTTAGCCTTTTTTTGGTCATTTAGCATGCACACAGTTAAGATTTTACCCGAAATTTTAATTTTTGGATTATCTAACACTAAAAACCAATGACTTGTATATCATGAATAGTTTACAGTATAAATATTGTTTTTGGTCAAATTATCTAGTGAGTGTTCATGTTTTATTGTGTTTCTTAGTGAATTACTTATTTCAAGGAAAATTGGTGTATACTTATGTAGGAAATCCAAAATCTCACTTGAAATGCATTTTATAACCATTTTAGCAAGTTGTCTAGCTTGGAGATACATAAATTGCTCTTGTTGATCCCTGTTTATACATAAAAGTATGGTTTTTTACCAAATCACTCTCCTTTTCCAACATGTAGAAAAAAGGGGGGACAAAATTATCAATTATATTTTATGTTTGGACCACTGTATTTATATTGAAGGAAGAATCTCTGATAAAAATAAACATATAGATAAGAACACTGTTATTTGAGTAGATATTAACAAATCAGAGCTGGGAAAAATTGAAAAAGTGTTATATCTGTCACTATTAGTATCCATAAGTAGTTTTCTTTGTTTAACGCATATGCTACTACCAGTCCAATTTGAGCTTGAATTCAGTGATATAGTGTTTTGACAAAAGCTTGATGTGTTTTTCTATGCTAGAAATAGATCATAGAAGGAAATTAAGTCAAGCAGAAGTCAATATAACAAGTTTGGTGCTGTTATAGGTATAGAACCACTAATTCAGGCCCGGTCGGAAAGAACATACAAGAAAGTAGTACATATTGTAAACAAAATAGTTCCTACGCATAGCTGTATCTTTGTCAATACTTGGAATATTTGGGTAGTTTTAGTATCAAATGAAAGCTTGGGGACTTGGAATCACTGTAGAACCCTTATTGAAAGTTTTATTTGAATAATAAAGAAGTATATGAAATTTTAATAGGAGGGCTCATTTGGCCTGTTGTTCAGATCAGAAGTTCCTGTTTTTGTACTATCAAACTTCCGGGAACCAGTACGCTCTAATATGCAATTAAAGGTATGTTGATTTTTTCAGCACAAGTCAGGATAAGGTACAGTTTTGACATGAAATAACTGCCACTTTATTTGAACTTAAGACAAAGTAGCCATTAATGCTTGAATTTGCAGAATTTAACATAGAAAGCAATTGGGCTATGAATTAGTGGTTTTATACCTTAACAGTACTAAATTGTCTAAATAACTACTAACCATTACTGAATTTGTAACAAGAAAATACTCGAAAACGAACTTAAACTCTTGAAAATACCAGATTTTTTTTGGTTTCAGACTTTTCAGATGATATTAAGATCGAAATCACCGTTTAAGACTAAAATTCATTTACTAGTGTAATTTTGCATTAAACTTGAAAACCATTTGAAAAGTAATTTATGAATAATATATTCAGCCATTTACCAGAACTATATATAGTAAGAAGAGCTTACAAATTCCTTCCATTGCTCCCTCATTACTAAACAATTCAAATTATGACTACTATGTCGATTTCATATACGCCATATTAGTCATTGTGGTTGAAATGAAGACTATTACAACCAGCCTCTCACCTTTATTCTATTCTTCGTCTAGTTCGAATTTCAAACTTTTGCTTTCGTTCAGTTATTACGATTAAAAAATTTACATGTACAATTGGCTCAATTTTATCGACTGTCAACAGAGATATCTACCGAATTGCCAATTATCACGTATCATGAGATTTAAAGAAGGATAATAATCAAGCAAAGTGTAACATATTCAGCATGCACTGCTTACCCTTTCTGTGCATTCGGGTTTAAATCCGTCTTTGGTGGGGTTTTCTATGTTCAATATGTAGTTGTCTGTTTCGTATCTTGTGGTTTGTTATTTGTCTTTTCATCTTTCTTTTTTTTTTTGACGTTGGTATTTTCTGTCCTTTTTTTACTTCTGATTGTGATTGCCTCCTTGTTATCTTCTTACAAAAACACTTGTGTGGTCAACTAAATTATGTATCCATAAACGACACCATCATACCATAGTTATTAACAATAACACATAAATAACGTTAACTTTTTTTTTAAATTTTTATATTGAACTATTAAGCGCAAATAGAGAGCCAATCGGCCAACACTTGTCATGGATTTGATGTAAGAAAATCAAACCGCATGAGTTTTAATAAAGATTGAAATTGTAAATAAATATCTACTAAAACGTTATGGTGACACAGTAATGACTTTCATCTATGATTAAAAATCCACAAGCATAAACTCTTCGGGGTGGAAGGGGGTGGGGGGGGAGTTCGCATGTCGGTTTTAAGCCATTCGTCAGCAATGGCAGTCCAATTTTCATTTCCTATTGTGGTGTAACCCCTTTTGTAGATACGAAAAACTAATGAATTTGCAATTTGTAACTGTCTTCAATATTGTTTAATGTATATTTCTTTATGAAATTCAACCGTTTGTAAACGACTTTAAACATTGTCTCCGGATCAATATAAAGACGAAAGACGTTTTGACGTTTTCCATATTATTTTTCAAATCTTAATTTTAAAATACCTTATCTTCATATGGAATTTTAAAAAGACACTCTTAAATATTAAAGAAACAGACAACGAAACTAGTCATAAAGCTCATTTTGCCAAACTTTGCATTAAAGGATATTGCTTTTCAGAATGAACTAACTTGTAGTCGAAAGACAATGGGGATATATACTCAAAAATTGAAAAATCAGTCAACATTGCTGTATAGGCTATCTTCAGAAATTTATAATTTGATGATTTGTTTAGAAATACGTCTTAATATTGTTAGAAGCTTAATGTAATACTTTGGGTTGTGATACTATCCTGATTGAAAGACTTTTTGGAAATGGATCTTTCAGTCTGGGAAAACATTATATGTTAGTTGTAAAAAGTAGATTAAAAAAAACTCCAAGGGAAAATTCAAAACGGAAAGTCCCTTATCAAATGGCAAAATCAAAAGCTCAAACATATCAAACGATTGGAAAACAACTGTCATATTCCTGACTTGGTACAGACATTTCCCTATGTAGAAAATGATTGATTAAACCTGGTTTTATAGCTAGCTGAACCACTCACTTGTAATTGGCTTTAGACCAGCTTTCAGTAACTGAGAATGCTCTTATATCGGTGCTTTGTATCGATTGTTTTTATGGTGTTTTTTTTTTTTTTTTTTTGCTGCGTACCGATTTATTGAGTTAAGCCATTTTCAAATGATTTTTTTAGTTTGTTCTTATGTTGTGCTGTATCACTACTGTCCCTGGATAGGGAAGGGTTTGAGCGATCACAAACTTTTTTAACCCGCCACATTTTTTATGTCTGTCCTAAGTCTGGAGCCTGTTATTCAGTGGTTGATGTTGGTTTATGTTTGTCAAATATTTTTTTCGTAAATTGTATTATTATAAATTAGGCCATTTGTTTTTTCGTAGAAATTGTTTAACGTTTTTTCATGTCGGACCCTTTTTATAGCTAACTGTACGGTATGGGTTTTTCTCATTGTTGAAGGCCATACGGTGACCTATAATTGCTTGTATCTCTGTCATTTGAACTCTGGTGGATAGCTGTCTCATTGACATTCATATCAAATCTCATTATTATAGTTTTGTGATATAAATACAGGGGACATGCATAGGCCTTAACTGATTTGCCAAGTTATGAACAGCTAATTTATAGTCAAATTTTAACGTATTGAGTAAATTATGAATAAACACTCCCTTCGAAGTGCATGCTAACCGGATCCTCAATTGGCAGTAGAATGAAACGCATGTGTATTGACAAATAAACCAATAATTGATTTAATATACACTACACGTTTCTTAAATGATAGTGTTTAAGTCCTCAGAAAAGATAATAATTTACTGATGTGTATATTTCACTTGTTTCAATTGACATTCTTATAAAATTTTAGCTAAAAATGAAGCTCGCCATTGCTCTCGTTGTACTATTGTCAGCCGTGTGCATAAATGCACATTGTCATGGTAAGGGCTGTGGATATGGATATGGGGGCGATGATGGTGGATATGGTGGATACGGTGGTTATGGTGGTTATGGCGGCTATGGCGGTTATGGCGGTTATGGATTAAGCTCGGATTATGGTGGATATGGCGGAGGATATGCATATGGCAAAGGATATGGCGGAGGATATGGCGGATATGGCGGAGGATATGGCGGAGGATATGGTGGATATGGAAAAGGATATGGCGGATATGGCGGAGGATATGGCGGAGGATATGGCGGATATGGGGGATATGGTGGATATGACGGAGGATATGGTGGATATGGTGGATATGGTGGATATGGCGGAGGACGTGGTATCGGCTATGCTTATGACAAGAAATACTGATATCTTATTTTTCTCGAAATAACAAAACGGACATGAAATTACATTGTAATCCAAATATATATTTCTGTAGATATTATAATGCAATAAAGAATTAGCCGGCATAATGGTTTAGTGTTAACTATTACATAAAAGATAATGTACAAGTTGTATTTTGCTATGTTAAACATTTTAAAATATGATTAAATTTTATCTGCATATAATTAGACAATGAACTGAAAGACCAAAGCGAGAAGAAAATTGATTCATGCTGGCAATTTATTAGATCGATTAGAGTTTTGTATTCAGAAAATGTTTGCCACTGATTTGAAACTATTTTATCTAAATGAAATCAAGTATATATGTAACACTCAGAAACGTGTCCACCCCCCAAACGTATCTGATTCCCCTAAACGTGTCCATATGATGTCACTGAAATGCAAAACATGTCTAGTTGTAGAAGGTCGCCAAAGCGTGTCCTCTTTATGTACGCTCAAACGTGTCCATTTACAAAAAAAAACCGCCAAAACGCCATAACGTGTCCAATCCCAAAACGTGTTCATATGAGGCCAGAACGTCTCCCTTTTATGAACGTTCACTCGTGTCCATATTTTAAAAACACTCAGACGTGTCCATCCTTATTAAATAGTGATTCGTAAATACAAATTCAATCGATATTGTAACAGGAACCTGAATTTTGTTTTGTTGTTGTAAAAATGGGACAATTACTCTTTAAAAGCCCAGAAACCACTTCTGTAGGAAGCAGGCCGTGCGATACCCTCGTATATTATTAAGATAGTTAGGCATCACTGGAGTATATTAGTACAAAGAATTAACTTAGTAAACGATGAATTTAACTATGCAAAACTAATTAATTGCTATTTTTATGTTCGCTCTAAATATACATGACATATTTGCCACAGGACATTAAGCAAACAATATTCAAGAGTTAATTTATGTGTTGCAAATTAAATTGCAATCATGCTAAATATTAACAACCAGCACTGGGAAAATGTTTTTGATTTCTTAAGTGTGAAGTACCTCCATTTAAAATCTAAAACAATAATTATCATATTAATAAAAAAAAAAACACTGCAAGTGAAAAACAATGTTTATTTTCTTATCTGGTGTCTGTTTATTTGAAAGTCAATTATTTCATCTTTCACTGTGGATAGTGTACTATGTCTTGGACATTTGTCTATACGCATCACTGCACCTTTCCTCCAGGTGTCCTTGGATGGCGGCTTTGATTTTTTTTTTAGAATCCTGCAACTAAAACCCGACGTCTTCAGTCGTGTCCCTTCATCACTGAATTGCCGTAAACGTTATTGACGCTACTGAGGACATATTATCGCTAAAAGGTTTGAGACGTTCTATATATATATAGTGTTTTAAAGTGGACACGTCTTGGTGAAAAACAATTATCGGACACGTTTGGGGGATGTGAAATTGGACACTTTTGGGCGATTTGGAATATTTTAAGGACACGTTTGGGCGAAATAGACACGTTTGAGGGTATCGGACACGTTTGGGGCGATGGACATGTTTGGGAGTGTTACATATATATTGGATATTAAAGGAAATGTTGGGTATACTCAAATGAAATAGCAACGACAGATATAACTAAAATATATACAGGATCAGTTGAAACTTTGAGAGATACGGTGAAACTCAAACAATGGGTTTTATACGTTCGTTGATTGATCACATCGGCTTTTTTTCATAGAAGTGTATCAAGCGTAGAAAAGTAAGGCATTGTCACTGTTTCGTTGTTTGTAAAACATCTCATCTGGCCTGAGACGATGTTGAAGCAAGATCACCAAGGCCAACGAGAGTATTGACCAATTAGTTTGTACAATAAAAATACTAGAAAAAAGCACTACTTAAAACTCCAAACCTCGGGTCCTGAGTCAGTGTTGATTGTTGATGTCGTATATGTGTCATATTTTTTTTTGCCGATACCTATTATCCCTGTTTATGTATTATTCAAATAAATATAATTTGTAATCATAAACACTCTACCTAAAGTTTCTATGTTCACATTTTCGTTCTACATGCTAAAAGACGGACATCGATTCACAATTAATGTCCATCTTTAATAAGTTGACATCTAATCATATGGAATTTTAATAATAATATTTGTGGGTTATACGATTATCAGACAACAAGCAAACGATACAATCACTCAAAAGACATGCATTTGGGGCTGAATTTACAGTCTTAAACTACAGACATTTGTCTTCAAAATATGTAAGCCCTAAATCATCCCGATCACGCGTTAAGATAAAAAAAAAAGCTCACAGTTTATGAATTTAAGCTTAAAGTACTTAACCTGCTGATATATGAAAATTTTCCGTCCTTTATTCTAGTAAATGTGGTGTACTTAGGAGTAGATGCTATAGAGTAATTCACTTGTTTGAATGTAATGGATGTGAATTGGATAGTCACCCCTTTTTAAATTCAGAAAAACACGATATTGTCCAGTGCAAATTATAAAGAATTTCAACATAAGAGGCAGAGTTAATCCAATAACCATTAGAAAGTATACATGATTTTTTAATACGGACAAGAATATTATCAACCAAAAATCTAACAGATACCTGCTAATTATTCAAGAACCTACGAACGTTGCTTATCTTATACTTCCAAATTTTTTAACACCCAGAAATAACAAATACCACTATCAACATAAACTTTGCCAAAATCTCTGCGTGTCAAAAAAGGAGTTTTTATTATTACAACAGATAGAGTTACACACAGATTTATCGGAATACTATTTTACATAAATGAAAATCTATTTTTGATTATTTGGTAATGTAGTATACAGAGTAAAATTCATTAATGTCAACAGACAAACTGATTTCAATGAACGTTGCTTATCCTAGACTTCCAAATTTTTAACACCCAGAAATAACAAATGCCACTATTAACATAAACTTTGCCACAATATCTAACAAACGATAGATGTTTACATAAAACTTCCTGGACTTACAACTTTTATCAAAAGACATAGATCTTAATATCAAATTTTTGAGGGGGCATGTAAAGGCATTGTTTAGTTTATGTCATTATACTTCATGTCAAAATGCCACATTTGATAGACAGTAATAACAGAACATTCAGTATATTGAATAAAATAACACATATCTGACACTGTGATAGAGCAGATTGTTACCCCTCTAAAAGACATTATCAACCTTGGCTTCGCCTCAGTTGACAATGTTTTCTCGGGGTAACAACCTGCTCTATCAACCTCTCAGCTATGTGTTCTTTATATATTGTCGTCCTGGTTGCAGGTATTTCCGTTTAATGATTTATTTATACCACTCCCCGGTTTCACTTAAAAACAAGAACAATAACAACTAATAAAGACCTAATAATACCGTGTGATTGCAATCATTTTTAAGTGAAACTAATCTCACACTCACACACACACACATGCATGGACCTTTATTGGATAATTTAGGTTTACCAAAATTCATAAGTTGTTATATTCCGCTCATAATGATCGCTCCATTAAGCAGGCCATAATCTTGCCGGCGAAATGACGATTTAAGTCGCCAAAGAATTTTGAAAATCGCTAAATCTCGCCGGCCGACTGACTTCATAGCGAAGTCAAATCGCTATCAAAATCGGTAAAAGGGAGACAACTTGTGATTGACAAGTCTCACAGGTAAAACAAAATGGCGGCTGACAAGGAAAGTCGATATTTTCAAAACGACCCAGGACTAATACTGTAAACGATCAAATTAAATAAATACAACGGCGACTTTGAACATCCTCGGATATAACTTTCAAAACTGTTCAAACGGAAAACTGACCGTCTGTTTAAGTTATCGTTTTACGATGATTTTCATCTGAGGATGTTGCGTAATCACTCAGCTGATTTGTTTTATTTTTATTACCTACACAAGTCGATCAATTTTACTAATTGGTAGGTAAAGGTAAAGGGTGGGAATTAACGGTAGATTTATTATATTCATTGAATAAAAACTGAAATATAATAGGTAGAAAGACAGCTGATGGATAATGTGATTGCAAACGTACGACGCTCGACCAGATTGTGATCAGCAGTGGATTTTTTCTCATGACCACTTTGTTGATATGGATGACATTTCTAAAAAATGATAGAAATTAGCTCTTTATCGGATAATTAACTTGAAATTGAAAGATATTTTCATTTATAGACCTACAATCTTTAACGATAATCTCAATTTACTACAACTAACATAAATGTCCTGGACATTCAATAATGTTTTACAAAACAATGACAAGTGGTGATATAAATTAAATTCCCAGTCATGTGAAATTCATCATATTTTTCTGGAGTTTTAAAAATAAATTGAGGCAGATGCACATGAATTTAATGCATCATAATCATGATAATATTACTAGGCTACTCCCTCATGTCCCAATCAACAAATTTTATTTAGAACACAATATGGTATCAATAAATAAATAACAACTATATATTGTCTAAACCTTTTTATTAAGAACTTTCTATATATACATTGTGTACAATAACATATGAAAAAACTGCAAGTACATCTTTTATTGAATATAAAACAATTTCCTTAGTGATAAGCTTGAAAACACGATGCAACCGAAACGGTAATGGAATCTCACTTCTCCAAGAAGTTGACCACTTCTCCCTTCTCTCTCATGGAAGGAGAAGTCACTTCTCCCTCTTCAAAATCCTAGATTAGGCCCTGATTAAGGTAAAGTAATTATTCGCGTTGAGTTTTGTTATCTACAATATGTATAACAAATCCAATATTGTAACTCAAAGGAAACTTATGATTTCAACTCGAAGTTTAAATTATTCTAATAATGATATGAAGCAATGATAAATAATATAAAACATTAAACTATCCATGTGAGTCAAAATACCAGGCTTCATACTGCCATGATTTTTATGCTGTCTTGGCAATGAAATCGTTGATGAATATTTAACCAATTAAATTCAAGAGAACCCATTTATTCTTACGAAAACCTATTATTTACTTAAGAAACTTTTGTATAGTATTTTCCTCACATTGACTCCCGAAATCTGACTTTTTACCACGGCTTCTTATCGGTTACGACAATTTTTTCAAACTTTGTTCGATAAAAAAGACACGCTAATGATATATGGTAATAACATGTATAAGTAATAAGTAAACGTTTAATTTTGTTTAAAAGTGTACAAAGAGTGTTTTTCCTCCATGTTTTCCTTCAGAAAAGCATCAAACCTTTCATTATCAGCAACTGTAAAGTGGTTTTTCCAGTCTCCGATTACCCCTGAAAGAAAAGTACAACTTGCAATTCTTAACAGGCAGATTGTGTATACAATAACATTAACGGTACCAATTACTGCTCAGGTGCACATTTCGACAATTAATGTGTCTTCAGTGATGCTCAAGGCCAAAATATTTGAAAAAAACCAATTTAGATAGAAAGTTTTTCATTTCAAAGTAAGATTTCCATTCAGAATTTAGTAAGAAATCATAGGACTTCTTATGTTCTACATCAATATGGTTTCAAAGATTGCTTCTCATAGATAAATCAATGAAAACTTGATCTTGAAATTGTGTTGCCTAATCTATCGTTGAAAAACAACAAAATAACCATCCTTAAAATCAGGACGACGAAAATACAAGCAAGTTCGCAAAACAGAACATAGAAAGCCAAAGACTGACCAACACGACAGTTGGTACTATAAGTTGGCATACGAATAGCGATAAAGTTAATATGATTTCCTTTTTATCAGTCAAAGTTTATTCTTTTTTAAAACACATATACTTTATAAGTTTGTATATATAAAAAAGAAGATGTGGTATGATTGCCAATGAGACAACTCTCCACAAGAGACCAAATGACACAGAAATTAACAGCTATAGGTCACCGTACGGCCTTCAGCAATGAGCAAAGCCAATACCGCATAGTCAGCTATAAAAGGCCCAGAAATCACAAATGTAAAACAATTCAAACGAGAAAACTAACGGCCTAATTAATGTATGTTCATTGCTTTATTTCTGTTGTACGCGTGTTTTTTTGGTTTTGTTTAGTTTGCATTGACTTATATAAATGTAATTTGCATCTAAATAAATATATGACTACCTGCATTACGGTAATTTCTAAGTTTACTTGAAGAATAAGAATCGTTAAATAAAGTTCCTATGAACTATCCGTATTGACCGTGGTATAGATTCTCGATCAGCTATATTGGCCTTCTACTGTTTGCGTTTAGGGGCCATTACAGGTAACCTCAAATATATTCAAGGCAAAGGAAAGAGGTTGGTTAACTACAAAATAATTAATGTTAATTTGATCCAACATATGAAACTGTTGAAAATTTTAGTTTTCGTTAGGGTTGTTCAAACCTGAAATTGAAAATCGAAATTACTGAAGTTCAACAGCAATAAACCAAAAAGTCGAAAAGGCTTTTTGGCATTCAGCTTTCAGTTCGTATGACGGTCACTCTTTGTTCTAAACAATTTTAATTTTAAAAAACACAAAGTTCATTCAATTTTTTATATGTTATCAGAACTGTATAAATCTTACAAATAAAAAAAAACAGGAGGTTGCAAGGTTGGCACACAAAATCATAGTACCTAGAGTCAGAAGTCTTCAAACTGATTACTCAAGGACCTCGTGTCATTGATTTATTTGTACATACCATAATAATATTAAATTTACCTTTTCTATATAAATTAGAAATCCTTTCACCAGTCGATACCTCTGTTCCACTATCTCGTCTTTTTTCTATTTCCCGCATTTTGCTTACGGTACATTTGTCCTCTATTTCTTGTAGTAACTCTATATCCCTTGGATAACCAATAAACTGTCCAATCTCTGATAAACATTCAATAATGTTCTGAAAATGCCATAATACAATATATCTAATTTTTCTTATACATTTTATAATTTATACAAAAGGTAAGAATTTTAAACTAAAACAATAGGCACCAACTGTTACAGCCTTTTATCTTTGATGAGTTTTTATGGCTGATAAATAACTCACCCAAGAAAAAAATACACGACGACGAACTATAATATAAAATATAAAACAAATTTAACCAACCACATGTGTATGAGCCAGTCAGTAGTTAGAAACCTTTAACCAAACCACATATGAATGTGCCTATCACTAGTTAGAAACATTTAACCAAACCACATGTGAATGTGCCTATCACTAGTTAGAAACATTTAACCAAACCACATGTGAATGTGCCCTTCACTAGTTAGAAACCTTGTCAGTGGTTGCCTTATCTTAGTGTTTTCTACTCACTACAGAATTCGATGCTTAAAGCAGTTCTTTGATAGTCTTTGTTAAATCTAATCTTATTTTTAGACTTGATGTTGATGTCAAGATGTCTTTTGATTGTGTGTCTTAAGGTTGCTGTCTCATTGACATATACCAATCATATCCTTTTATTCAATGTATAGGAAAAGTCGTTTAATTAGCTTCATGAACAAAAACTGGGGGGGGGGGGGTGATCTCATGTGCTCTGGAAGGGTAAGCAAATCCTGCTCCACATGTGTCACCCGTCGTGTTGCCCATTTTAGTACAAACCCGGTAATAAGTTTAATTCGGTAGGTCACATTCGGGAAAAGAGGACGGGATTGTAGTTACGACATTAGGAACATATCCGCTATCATCTGTGAAACGGATATTCCATAACGGTCAACCAACTCGTGATGGCGTCCGTAAAACTTACGAAGGGATGATTTCAACTTCACCACTTGAAACTCTTGGTTTAATAGCTTCCTTTTTAGCAGCAACCCTCTATCAAGGAAATCATAATAGGAAATACATAAACTATTCAGACAATATGTTGTAAGATTAAACTATTCAGACAATATATTGAAAGAGTAAACCTGATTATAGAAAAACCCAGTCAGCAAGTCTACCAATAAGATATTTACAACTGATGCGGTTCTTATACATCCTTGGCTTTCTTATATTCGGCTTTGATCGTTCATGATGAAAGTAAATCCAGAATAGCACTTCGGACTCTAGAAATTTATAAAGTGCTGTTTTCATTTGTTACAAACTTGATAAAAGTAAATTAAAAATGACAGCATATTATTTGAAAATAAAACTAAAATTTCTTCACTATTACTTGCAAGCCAACTAAGATTCAACAACTCTTTCTTTGGTATTGAAAGCAAAAAAAATCATGAAAGAAGCTCCGAAGGTTTCATATGTTTAATTAAAAGCGGTCATATTTGTCAGAGACCAATAAATATTTCGATTTTTTTTTAAAACGCGAGAAGGTTGGCTTTTTAATGTTTCATATTAACTTTATGTTTATGATAAATTAATTTGAAATTCTCATGACAGAAAATTGCCTGTGCAAAAGACAAGACACACTACTGATTGTATAGCAGATAAGTATTGATGTTGTCCAATCAGAATCAACGTTATAAATAAGTTTGTATAGCTTTGACATATTTAGATTTGATGTTATGATTTTTAAAAGATTAAACTATGAAAGCTTGAACAACTTACCGTTTTTAGATCTTCGTAGTTGAGTATTAGCACAGGCTGGTCTGTAGATGACACGAATTCTGACCATCTCTTATTGTAGAAGAACCAATTTGAACCAACACTACGATCTGCTCATATAAAAATATAACAAAAACAGAAGAGTGAAAGAGAAGCGGAAGATACCAGAGGAATATTCAAACTCATAAGTCAAAAACAAACTGACGACATCATGGCAAAAAACGAAAACCGACTAATAGGCAGACACCAGTTTACAAAACACAACATAGAAAACTAAAGACTAAGTCTAATTCTATGATATCACATTCGAGGAAAGAGAATTATTTATAGTGTTGCTAAGACTAATAAAGAGATTTCTCGCAATTTAAAGCCATCACTTTCTGAATGCCTGTAGACAGTTTACGTTGTGAGTCGATTTTTTCTCGAACAATTGAAAATAAAAATTCGACAATCATTGAAAATGTTCAATGAAATACTATTAAGTAAGTTACTATACCGAGTGAAATGACTAAAAATTCCAATAACAAAGTACTTAAGCGAGAAAAACAAAACCATATTAAATCACATGACTAATATGTTATTTCCATATTATAGATTGTAGATTCAACTTGTACCGAAACACCAATAAGTTTTTAACATTAGACGATAAGTAGCAACTTACTAAGTAAAACATGAAAAAAAAGGATATTAAGGTAGTACCAAAAACCTTGACTAAAATTAATTTGGCTCGTTTAATTTTCATAAAATTTTGACAAAATATTTACTTTGACCCTTTGACAAAAATATAAAAATTTCAAAAAACTTGAACCACACACTTTATCGGAAAAATTTCATTGGATAAGTAGCAGTTTGACAAACACTAATTTTGATCATTGAGAAGCTTGATATTTCCTTAACAATAGAACGTGATTAAAACGTTGAGCTGATTTTTACAGAGTTACCTCCCTGTATTGTTATGTACCACCTCAAAATGGTCAAACTGCAAAAGGGATTCATAGTTTTAGTAATTATTTCAAAATTCGTGCGCTTTCAGTCTAGCGTGATTCAGACAAAAGAATCAAGTTATATATATAATTTAACCACCTTACTTATATAGTAGTAATAATTACAGGGGTTTGCATTAATTGGGTAGGTGAACGTTTCTCTAATAATGTACATATTGAGTGTAATATATTATGAAAACTTTGTAGATTTTCAGTTTTATCCAAACTATCTGCTTTTGAAGCAAAATTCATCTAATCACTTCATTTATTTTAATTTTCTGGTGAGACAGTGACACAAATGATACGTTATTGGTTCTACGGAAAACGATATGGAGATTGGTGTCAACTTAAATTCCTGTGATTTTACCCTCTTATTGTCACAAGCTATAGTTAAAATATGTCTCTGTAATAATGTAATGCTTTTTAAACACAGTTCTTTCAAATGGTTATATACTTACCATTTTCAAAAGTGTACTGCAAAAATTGGGAAAAATCAAAATTCTGATCCATCGATTTCGTCACAAGTATATGATGGTACAATGATGTGATTATGTCTTTAGGATTACGAAGAATCAAGATAATTTTACACTTTGTATCACTGATTTTCTTTGGTAAACATCTTGGTGTAAAATGAGTATTGAATATTCTTGGCCTCTGTAGATCATTGTAATCTTCCGGCAGATGAAATTCCATCATACAAGATTCTTTAGCTTTTTGATGGTATTCAGCCTCGCCTTTTACCAACATCTGGCACATTTCCCACACCCAATGGGTTCCTACATATATTTAGGCTATAAGTTTTCAAAAAGTTCCGTGGTTTATGGAATTCATGAACTTTTCCATGCCTTTCAATATTATAAAAGATTATTTTCAAGAATGCACATAGTAAAATGCTTTTACAAGGATTATTTGTATACATGGGCTCTATATCGTTAATTGCGAAGTGCAGTTATTTGGTCTAAACTGGAAACTTTGTACACGTCTTTATTTGGGAAGGACTGTTTTAGTATTCATTTCAAATTGATGAAAACTGCAGTTAGATTGTCTATTTTTTTTACCAGTTATTCCTATTATATGTTGAGGCTCATGAAGCATACATAGCGGAAGAACCTTTTGACGCAACCGATCTCGCTCCGATTTGAAATACATGAAATTCGCATGGGGTGTGTCTTTTTTATATTGATTTTTATATTATATTCAAAATGGATTTACGAGAAATCAAACATCGGTAAATTACTGTTGACTCTGATCTAAAGGCTGGCGATGAATTACAACAAACATTCGTTAGTCATGATCGTAAAGTGCCACTTGCATTTCAATTTGGTTTAAACGAGAAGGGGAAAATGTGTTTACGTCTTCATTAGGAGGGGGGTTTAATATTCATTTGAAATGGATGAAAACTAACTGATGTCATGATCACTAGAACAGAAGTAGAACGGAGTGTTGTCAGATCCTTGTAAGCAAAGCGTGAACTTAGGATCAGATGAAGTTTTCTTTTAATTCTCATCATTTTTTCCGTTCAATTGAACCGTTCATGTTTATTCCATTAACTCCCTTCATTTCTAAAAGATTCGTAAAATTGTAACAACTAATTGAAGAAGATTTCCAACTCAAAAAGGAGACAAGTATAATAAAAGATGTTTTCAAGTCGTTCCGTTTGTTGATATAGTCAAGCGTTTGGTTTTGTCAGTTTTATCGACTTGCCTTTTTTTAATTTACCTTGGAGTTTGGTATTTTTGTTATTACATATTTTACACCTACATACAAAAATATATAAAGATATGTTTTCTTGCAAAATCTTTAATTTCAGATATGGCATAAAGAATTAAACGACAATCCATCATTGTCTTTATGGTCTCACTGTCAGAAATATGCATAGCTATGTACAGCTTTAAATTTACAAAAGAAAATCATACTTACCACATTTGGGGTATGCACATACAAAGATATCATCATCATAAACGTCCATGTTTTGAGTTTGTGGAATTAAGACCCTCGGATCAGGATAAAATCCAACCTTTCTATCAATTATTCTTGTCTCATATTCATCTGTAAGGAGATACTCGGACTCTTTGCCTCCTGGTAAGGCGACGTTAATAACTTCATCTTTTTTTGTAATTGGTCCTTCAAAATTAATTTTAGTTCTAAACAGTTGTTTTATATATTTTTCTCGAATTATTATGCAGTTCAATAATTCCCCATCTGGTAAGTTACCAAAATAAAAGCTCCATGTTTTAAATGAAATAAGCACTTTAAAATGTCGTGCTTCCCAAGCACATTTCTGGATATACATTCATCAGGAACGCTGAAGTCTTAACATTTGAGCCAGGGATGTGTATGATGAATCGCTAGGAGCTATTGGCCAAAAAAGACCTAAACCGAAATATTATAGACAAATTCGTCTGAGAACAATTTTTCTTGAGGGAGTTGGAACCTCAGTTTCTTAATAATTTTAATAATTTATCAACAGAGAATTTACAACTCATAGATAAATCATGTTTCCCAAGACCAAAATATCTATCAGCACACAATCAACTGATTAAGTGTAAAGACGTCACCAACAGTCTGAGAAAAGCAATAAATTTTGTAACGCCAAAATATTAGTATCGAAAGGATGTAGCACCATCAGTGTTCATAACTGTATAGCAATATATATTTAAAATAATGTTTTAAATCATTAAAAACAAAATCAATATTTATACCATAAAAAGACAATATTCAAAGATCTTACTAAAGTGTTAAACTTGAAAACCTTAAAGAATAAATGTATTTCCTGGATCAATATTTTAACATGGATCTTTTCTAAATTTACCGGCTGTACAAGCAACATCACCGTAAAATTTAAGTTGTGATATCCCGTTTGTAATAATGTTTCTACAGATACAGTAAAACTTCCAAACCCAAATCCATAAGAATATAAAAAATATTTAAGTAATCCTGACTTGATAATATAACCATTATACATATATTACGTTCATTGACATCTTAACCGTACAATACCGAGTATTGGTATGTATCTGTCTAAATTCATATCTTACGCGCGTGCATAATCACGTTGTACGGATATCCTTAACACTGTTTGTTGAAGATGCAAAAACTGGTACTGATGAAATAACGACTGAAATCGACACTACACAGGTTTTACGGTCAACACCTCGAATTGGTTAACCACAACAATGTGTCTGTATTTCTACCAACGAGAGACACATTATCGTAGTATCATATCTTGAGAACATACTGTAAAACATAGTATGGTACGGTGGTATGGTATGTGTTATGGTATGGGGGTATACAACCATACCATGCTATGGTATGATGGTATCGTACACATTACTATACCATGGTATAATTTGATGGTATGAAGCATGGTATGGTTTTTTGAAGTAGGAAATTTTATAAAGTTAATAAAGCTATTAAGATACTTGAAAAGTCGTCTGAACTGTAAATTAACCGAAGGTGTCCTGTTCCATAATCATGATATTTTGACGGAATCTAAATTCGTGTGCCAAGCCAACACACTTGATCCTGCTCCATTAAGAGTTCATCTGATTCCTTTTATATATATATATATTGATTTGTATATTAATAATTGACTTTTCATATACGAACATTGATAAACTCCTGTTGCCTCTAAATGAAATTGAGAATGGAAATGGGGACTGTGTCAAAGAGACAACAACCCGACCCAAAAGCAGAAAACAGCCCAAGGCAACCTACTTGTCTTCAACACAGCGAGAATACACATTTTATCAGTGGAAATAACAACAAAACGATGATCGATTACTTTTATGTAAATACAATTAATTGGTTTTCTATTCGATATGACCTCGGATAGAAATGAAAACGAAATAACATAAAAAAAGTTATAAGAAAACAAATGAGACACATTACAGGAAATCTTACAGTTCAACTATTAAAAGTTGATCACCCCCAGTTTTTGGTGGGGTTCGTGTTGCTTAGTCTTTAGTTTTCTATGTTGTGTCTTGTTTACTATTATTTGTCTGTTTGTCTTTTTATTTTTTAGCCATGCCGTTGTCAGTCTTTTTTCGATCTATGAGTTTGACTGTCCCTCTGGTATCTTTTGCCCCTCTTTTAAAGTAGTATTTTTTTACATTCAGATAACTTATCAATAAAGATAATTTATCGTAGTATATCAAATTCAAGTTATGAAAAAAACGCGAAGAATCTTATCACACTTAACATTTTAAAGCATAAAGAAACTAAATCAGTATACTTATGAAATATAGTTACCATAAGTAAATAATTTCCTCTCTCCTTTGTTAGACATGATACATATAATGCTCAGGTTTACTTGTCCTTTGACCTCAAATAATCGTATACTGTCACTAATGTTTGCCTCCTATCTATGTTTAGATAACCTGTTGCCTGTGTTAATTACATTTATTCGTTAGTAGTATGATTTAACCAATATTGGTTAGGTGTTATATAACAGCGTATCAATTTGATTATTAATAAGATGATTGAAATTTTCGTCCGATATTGCTATGGTTAAATTCATGGTACAACTAAAATAAATACTCCTAATTAATATATTTAAGCAACAAATGTACTTGTTTTATTTTAGCAACAAATGTACCTGTTTTATTTTTATTAAATCAATACATATGATTAACGAAAAAGAAGGATTTATACCCTAAAACCGCTATACGCATTTAAAAAACCAATAGCAGAGGAACAAAGCTATTATTAATGTTCTTTATCTAAAGGTTACATTGAGAACTCGACATGGAGCAAACATTCTCTCCTCACTGCAAGTTCAAGACAGCCTCTTGCAGCGGTTTGTGCAGAATTCAATGATAAGTATTGATCACACTCATCTGTGCATTGAATAAGGCAGCTGCGGGGTAAAAGAAAAAAATATAATAAATTAAGTATTGCAAAAAAACAGAAACCAAGTATAACACATGTAATGCTGCAAAAAGAGGAAGATATCAAGTTAAACCATTGTGGTGACGTCAGCCTATTCATTTACCGTGGATTCTTTTTCTAGAATCAACGCTTCCTAAATCTGCCGCTGAAATTGACTCACCAAATTATATTCAATTGTTTCCTTTGTGTGCCTAATTTCATTAAGTTTGAATTGGCTAATTTACTGATTTCTGTTCACTAATGGAATTAATTTAAAAACTTACCTTTATTTTTTGTAATTTTTATATGCCTTCACTGAGGATCGAACCCTTCCTTGAAATCTGTTATGTGTGACTGACATCAACACATTGACGAAACCTCTCGGCTACCAATGGGTTACACTATTGATGTCTATTTTATATATTTAAATGAACATCTGATATACATCGGTTCATCGGACACACAGGGCTTGTACCTTTATACAGATACAATAGGCAGTCGTATAGTATGAGTTGGTAGCCGCGAGGTTAGCATGGTTAAAATCAATGAGTTAGATATGGATTTGTCGGTTTAGGTTCGAATCCCTGTATTCTCTCTCTTGTTCCAATTCTTAAGTGATCCAGTTTTTTTTTCTAATTTTGCATGTTATAGTGGATATTTTTGTAATAATAGCGAGTTTTACCGGGTTTTTTTTTAATTATTATTGGCTACTTCACATGTTTGAAACAAAAATGATTACATTCTATTTGTCAGTTTTTGTTTTATAAATATGGTATGATTTCATCTGTTTTACTACATAATTTTACAAAAGTTTGTTCGCAAATTCCTATGCGAGAAAATCGTGATGTGCCTAGAGTGCTAGAAAAATTTCGATAACATACTTATTATATATACTTTATATATGCTTTTTGGTCGGGTTGTTGTCTCTTTGACACGTTCCCCATTTCCATTTTCAATTTTATTAGAAATAATTTCGAATATGTCTTATTTTGTATAAACAGATAATATTCATTATGCCTGGTAATATAAAGATCTTTAAAGGTAGAAGTGTTATATTTGTATTTTGTTAACCAATTAATTGTGATTTGAGATTTATCAATGCATCGTTGGACTCGATAACAAGGTTATTTAAACTCACTTACAATACCTTCTAATTAAGAAAAGGCTTTAATTTTGAAAAGAAATTAACACAATAGTTTAAGTTATAGATACAATGGATAAGCGTAGATTCATGAAAAACAAACCATTCGCCCTCCGGGCTCATGGTTTCTTTTTCAAGAATCCACGCTTATCCATTGTATCTATATAACTAAATATGTTTTTAACTTCTTATAGATATACATGAAAACTCCAACAATCTATGACACCGGAGTCAACACAAATATATTCACTTAGATAATTATACGGAGATATACTACCAGTTTTTTTTATCTATTTATTGGAATGAAGGAAATAACTGCGTGGCATCTGCTGATGGCAGAAAAAAAACCAAAAGGAATAATTAGATATAAGCACTATGTTTCAAAACTAAAAGCTTCGGTACAAAAGTCTAAACTCTATTGAATTATTTTCTCTAGTCCAAAGTGTAGAATTATATAAACAAATTTAAATTATTTAACACCTCTGTTCGACGCAATAGGAGTCACGGTCATCGAGCATATACACCACTTGCAGTTTAGACCATGCCTTTTGGTGGTTTATTATTCGCTGTTAATACACCTTTAAGAATTCACTATTGGTTGCAATCATTACTGGCATTACTAAGCATAGGCTATCCAGACATTCACTTGACAACCACTTCCAAAGATGATGAAAACATCAATATTAACAATAAATACCACAAAAAGCCGGCGCAGAAAACAATACCTGATTACTTCAAGGATGAAAATGAGTGAAGCGCACGCCAGATGAACCGAAAGTTAACACTTTATTGAATTGATCACAACTGTTCGGTAATGCATTCAGAAGCGCATTCAAAATCTACGATAAACAATGAGCTCTTGACCTATAAAGAAACCCGAGGTTGTGGATGTTTTATACTCTCTTCACGACAAATAAGTTGTTGTTACAGCCAACAAAGCCCCAAACTTTATAGTTTTTATATGCAAAAACATTTTTGGATTATCTAACGAAAGAAATTGGAATTCAAAGCAAACCTGTGAATCCCACATATATCCCTACATCATTCATTAAAGAGGAGATTTTAGAAAAATACACCTTCCTCTCCTTAATTTGGTATTAACATCAAAAAGGACGATGAAAATCTCCAATCTTTATACTTGATACTAAAACTTTAACATTAATCCTTATAAAGAACGATATATAGCCGGGACTTCAGCATGTTCAATGAAAAATCTTTCTAAAGTTCGTAAAATGCTTCAGAAATATTGTGATGAGGTATATTCAACCAACGGTGTCAATTAGATGTAGATTCTTAAAAATTCTAAATATCTACCCCAAAATCTTCAAATACAATCTTTACAATTTTGCTGTAATATCTAAACCTTTTTTTAATAATCCCCTGTGCTCAATTGAAAGATCGACATAATCGTCTCCTTAAACAGAGTTTTTTCTAGAAAAATGGGAAACGTAGATTCAAATTCCTTATCTTAGGTCATAAAAATCTGACTTTGATGAACCGTACTGATTTCCACAACTAATACATCCATTTTGTACTCATATGAAGCCTATGTCATACAAAACCTTCTGAAAGACAAAACAATAAGGTCATTTAGTTTGTGCTTCTGACACAAAAACTGTTCCAGCAAGATTATGTGGAAGAAAGACTCTAATCAGCACTACCTATGTTTAACGGTAAACATCACGAATTGGGTACGATTTGTCTGGAACTCATTTCACAAGTGACATGTTTTTTGTGGTCTTAGATCTGTAGATACGAGAATAGTCGTCTGATCTGTAAATTTATCAATAGCGTCCTGCTTCATATTGTGACATTTTGTCTGAGTGTGACGATTCTCATGGTTGGTGTAGCATGCAAATCAGGAAATGCTTTCCTTGTCAACGCTTCCGGTCGTGCTATGTTCTGAGTTCAAGCGCTTCCATCTGGTTTTCTTTCTTTGATATTGCCTTGATTTATATATATTCTTAATAAATTTAAGAGATTCGAACATAGATTATCTACTGTTGTACCTAACAAAAGCTTGGGTTAGAAAAATCTTACTGATTCTATTGATGTTGACGGTGTTTAAACAGTTAATTTGTAGACAATGATCGAATCAATAATACTTTATTTTAGCAAAATGTTCGGATCACCTAGATAGTGAAATCATCGTGAACGAAATATCCACTAGCAGTTGTATTGACCGAGTGGTAGTCATATAAGATCTGGAAAAAACAAAATTACGGTAGCTATGAGGGTCGAAGTTGCGGTGACGTCTAGTCTGTCCACAAAAACGGTATATTGATACACAAGATGATCAAGCTGGAATGTGTAGTAATTTTATATAAGTTTTGTATCAATGTGTCTATTAAATGTATAATCACAGAAAATAGAGTAATTTGAGCATTGCACAGGATGAACGTGGCTGAATGAGCGCTGCCGTATCATTGTCTACAACTATACCTTTTTGGTGACGATATGCCTTAATTAATATTTTTTTACAGTTGAATTGACATAATTTATGGAAGGTTATAGATGCAGATAAGCTTAAATTAGTCTGTCAATAATCTACTTTGTGACAGAGGTGTTCTTTGTTAAATTCCTACTATATACCAGGATGTTGTTTACATTAATTAATGCACTCTTCGAGTTTACATTCCGTATGACCTCATTCGTCAACATTTTAAGGCGACCGCAAGATGTCAAAAAGTATTCTTCCATACATGATTATAACATTTATATTTCAATTTTAGGTTTTATACTTTTCAAAGCAAGAAATAAGAGACCACTCCTTACTTAAAAAAGAGCATATCTTTAGCTTAAAGTTTTCAATGTCAAACAGTTCATGAATAACTTTTCCTACACGTTAGTTAAACTAATAGGTTTAAATGATAAATGGTGAAAAGGATTTAGAAAATCAAAATATTTGAATCCTATGCATTTAAATTTTGGTCTGATTCTGTGATACTTTTGAAAAGTTTAAATATTTAGCGTCCATCCAGAATCAATGACACTACCAATATGCCTGGCTTACCATAAAATCTGTTAGTTTTGTGAATGTCACATTTGAATGAATAAGCCTTCTCCGTGATAAATCATGCTTGTCGGGTATCAAAGATTCGTAAGCTTTTACGGGATTATAACGATAGATTAAAATAAAGGAAAGAAGTGCATATTGTAATTTTTGTAAATAAAGTGGTATGAAAATGTACAATTAAACACCGAATCGAACATTTAGAATAACTTCTCATACAATAAATAGCCATTATTAGGAATCTAAACTGATTTATCTGTTCAAACAAAGGCAAAACACGAGTTTCTACAAATTGATTACCTTAAGGATAAGATCGGTGAATCATCCTTCA